GCACCGTGGGGTGTGGTGGGTGGAGAGGGGCCGCGTCCTCATGGTCTTTACATCACAGAGTGTCCTTCTCCTTTTCATTTTTCGGTCACTCACAGGCTGCGGTGGGGGTTTGTCTTGAGGAGGCTCCGGCCGTCCTCCTGCCTCGGCCTCCCGGGGGCTGGGGCACAGCGGGGTACCGGGTCGGACCTCCCGCGGCTCACAGATGCCCAGGTGAAGTTCCTCGCGGCCCAACGGGCACCGCCAAGGCCGTGGCGCACCGTGACTCCTCTCCTGGGAACCCCTGACCCTCCCGGACGAGACGGAGCCGATGGCGGGTGACAGGGGCGGGGAGGGGACAGCTGGGGTGTGGCTGCCCGTGGGACCGGGCTCCTTGGGGTGGTGAAATGTGCTGGAATGGACCACGTGCAGGTTGCACAACAGCATGTTCTAAATGTCACCGGGTCGTGCACTTTATCTATGATTTTATGCTATTGGTGCCGGGGACGGAACCCAGTGCCCACCCAGGGCCCCAGGTCACTGCGCTGTGTGTCCAGGGGCCAGGACCTGCCTGGGGCCCCACCACCCAGGGGGTGCACCTCTACAAGGTCAAACCAGAAAACACACAGCGCCTCAGCGCAGAGCCTGGCATGCAGTAGGTGCTCAATAAACGTCGCTCCCTCCCCACGTCTGCCGCGGTGTCAAGGAGACGGGCAGCGGTGGCCTGGCTGGGGGGGGGGGTGAGAGATTCTGATGAGACCCAGCGGAGGCCAGCCAAGTGCAGCCCACGCCGTCCCCGTCCCCACGCGACATCCCGTCCCCACGTGCCACCACCTCTTGCTCACAGAGCTGTCAGGAAGGTCCAGAGGTGACAGCAAGGCGGTTCTGTCCCGAGACACACAGCCCAGGGTGACCACAGAAGGTGACCCGTCCGAAGTCCCCCTGTGCGGGCCCCGGACTCCCTCCAACACGGGGAGCCGGACGCCTCGTGCCGACCTCAGCAGGAAGGTGGCCCAGCCTGGGACCACACAGGACACCTGCCCGGGTGCGTGGCCTGGACGGCAGGTGACGGGATGGTAGTGCGAGGGAGGCCGCGCTCCAGCCCCCCAACCCCAGTGCTGCCTCTCACGGGGCGAGAGACTCCCGTGCCTGGGAGCCCCCCACGGACTCCGTGGTCTGTCCTCACAACCAAGCAGCAAGGACCCTGGAGCACCTACAGGGGCCACCTCATATTTTCACCACGCAACTGAGGCTCAGAGAGGTTAAGTGGTCGGCCTAAAGTCACACAGCTAAAGTGGCCACTAAAGTTCAAGTTTCTTTTCATGCACTGGCCAGGCTCTCCGCAGATATGTCCCACACGGCTGAGGTCCTTGGGGGGTGACAACCCTGCAGCAGTCTGTCGGTGTCTCCACGCGGCCTTCTTCTCTGTCTTTTCTCTGATGAGGACACTTGAGAGATCCAGGGCTCACTCTGACCCGGGATGATGCCATCGAAGAGCCCAGCTGCGTCCGCGAGGGCACCTTTCCAGACAAGGTCCCGTTCACAGTGCGGGGATCGGGAGGTGCGCGTCCAGGGGTGACGTGGAAGCCATCACCCCAAGGTGACAAGGCAGGTCGCTGGAAGCTGGGCCCAGGACGGGAAAGTGGAGAACCCACAGGAGGGGAGCCGTCCACTAACCAGCGCATTCATCGTCCAGTGGACATTTATTGAGCACCTACTGTGTGCTGTTGAGCACATGGCCCCAAGGCACATCGGGCTCCGCCCCAGGGGCCTGGCCACACAGAGCCTGGCCAACATGGGGCCAATCAGGCTGTAATGAGGAGGGAAAGACCCGGAACCTGAGAGATGGAACAGGCCACGGCAGGGTGGGCCTGGGCAGCACAGTGTTTGAAAGCCTGCAGCTCAGCTCAGGGCTCGTCTTGCAACAGATTCAGCCTTTGCTTTTTGGAACTTTCTGGAAATTAAAAAAAAAAAATTCAACCCAGAGTGTCTGAATCCACAGATGTGGAGCCTGAGGATACGGGGAGCCAACAGTAGATTCATTAGAACATTTACAGTGCCCCAAACTGGAAGGAAAATATCCCGGGACAGGCAAAGAGAGAAATGGTGGTATATCCAGTCGTGGAATACTATTTAGCAATTAAAAAGACATGAAGTACCAAGCCACAAAAGACACCAAGGAACCTTAAAGGCATATTGTCAGGCACAGGAGGCATCTAAAAAGGCTACGTACCGTGTGATTCCAACATACAACCTTCTGGAAAGGTGAAACTGTGACAGTGTAAAGACCAGTGGTGGCCGGTGGCTTGTGGGGGAGGGGGAGGGGGAGTAAGTAGCGCACAGGGGACTCTCAGGGCAGTGGAGCCACTCTGCATGGTACTAGAATGGTGGACACATGACACCACGCTCTTTGTCAAAATCCAGGGAACATCTGGATGCGGCAGTACCCGCCTGCAAGCCCGGCTACGGAGGAGGTGAAGGCAGGAAGATCTCAAGTTTAAGGCCAGCCTCGGCAACTGACGGAGACCGCGTCTCAAATCAGATGTTTTTTTAAAGGGCTGGGGATGCGGCTCAGTGGTAGAAGGCCCCCAGGTTCGATTCCCTGTAACCGACAAAAAATAGAGATCACAGAAGACACAACACGGTGCACCCTGATGTGAACGTGGACTTCAGCTGGTGGTCTGTCTCCATCGGCTCCACAGGCGGGGGGTGGCTCGGCGGTAGAGCGCTGGCCCAGCAGGGTCAAGCCCCTGGGCACAATCCCCAGCACCCCCCCCCAAAAAAAATCTGTAAGAGTTGTAATAAATAGCCACCACAAGACACCAACCACGTAGGGGGGTGCTACGTGGAAACTGTCCTTTGCTCAATTTTTCTGTAAATGTAAAATGGGCCTAAAAGATCCATTATTTCAGGGGGTGGAGAGGACAAAGAAAAGCAGGAGCCAAACAGGCAGAATTCCAAAGGAAGGAGCACTGGCCTCAGGAGCCAGAGGAGGGCCTGCACGGCACTTGTAGAGGGCTCTGGTGTCCGCCCCGCGGGGGCCCCCTGCCCCTTGGGGTAGGTGCTGATCAGCCCCCGCTACCCGCCAGTTCTGTAGCCACAGGCTCAACCAACCCCACGTGGAAGACGCCTGGGGGGAGCTGCAGCTGTGACTGAACACGCTGACTTTTTTGGGGGTGGCATTATTTCCTAACAATACAGGGTGACAGCGACTTGCTGGTTGTTCTGCTCAAGTAGCATGAGCTCTATGAGACATTCGGAGTCACCTGGAGACGGAGTCTATGGGGAGGATGGGGCTGTGTCATTTTATATGACAGGTAGGCACCCGAGCATCCTCAGATTTGGGGGCCCACGGATACTGAGGGAAGATGTATTATTATGCGTATTTCACAGATGAAGCCAGCCCAGAGAGGCAAAGTCACTTGCTCAAGGTCACACAGTGGCAAAAAAAAACAGACTCCCAACGACCAGGAGGGGCACCTGTGGGTTCACTAGGAATCCCTGCAGCCCAGCCCTGTTGGCCAGGCTGCAGGGGGCCGCCCGCTCCGGGTTGATCAGAAAGCTGTTTGCTGAACACATCAGAATGAGTCACCGTGGGTGGTGTGCCCTGGGCTCCTTCCAGATGGGAGGGTCCAGGATCGGGGACCCCAGAGGGGTTGCTCAGTCCCCCTGTGGTGCCAGGCCCCACCCCTGCCTCAGCCCAGGGGTCCAGTACTGTGGGTGGCAAAGCCTTCCTGGCCCCAGGGACAACCAAGCAACCCAGGAAAGAAGCGGAGGCCTGAGAGTCCCCGAGACCCGCCCACAGACACACTTGTCCCATTCCCTGCCCAGGACCCTTCTGGCTCCAGCCCAGACCACTGCTGCGCCCACCTGGCCAGCACAGGCCACAGGACAGCCCAGCACCCATCCCTCCAGGGGCAGAGAGGCCCCAGGTCAGGAGCCCCAGGCCAGCCACCACCCAGCTCCTGGTCACCCCAAGATGCTCTCCCTCTGAGACCCGCGGGGCTCCCCTCACCCCCTGAAGACCTTGGCTCACACATCAAGCCCTGCCTCAGGGTCAGACTTCACCCCCCCCACATCAGCACTTCCTCTTCCCCCCACGGGTTCTTTCTGTTCCCCACTGGGGCTGATCCACCATCGGTGTCAATTCAGTTTCCCTGCCCCCTGGTCTACTACCATGGAAGTCCCCAAGGGCAGGGACTTTGTCCACCTGCAGTCTCCGGTGCCCCTCCGGGCTGACTGGAGTGAGGACACCCGGGTGTGGGGGACAGAAGGGCCCTGGGAAGGTGCCCCACCCCCAGCCTGTTCTGGGTCGCTGGAAGAGGGACTGTCACCACTGTTGTGACTAAGTTGTCACTAAGTTGTCACTGGGCAGCCAGTGAAGGCCAGGGGCCGGCAAGGGGCCTGCCAGGGTCTGCGGACCTCCGCCTCTCTCGGCCGCCCCTGCCTCAGTTTCCCTCACTGTGGGGCTCACGGGCGGGGTGTCTGGGGGTGGGCGCGTCCCCAAGACTAACACCCCGTGACCTTCACACACCAGGGGGCTTGCAGCAGATGAGGGTCCCGAGGGTCATCCACCATGGATCTGGTGACCCCCGACTTCCCTCCGTTTAGGATTCTGGGGGCCCCTCTGAGGCCCCTCTCCCCTTCCACCCGGGACCCGGGAGCCTCCAAGCCGAGTGCCCCCCCCAGTCTCCGGGAGACCCCGGTGCCACCCCCGCCGCAGGGCCCTGACGCAGGGGGGATCCCGGGCGCCCGCTGCTGTTGTGCGGCGCGTGTTGTCGCCGTCGCCCGGGAGACGCCGGGGGCGGGCCGGCGGGGGGCGCGGCCTGGCGGCGCGCGAGGGGCCGGACCTGCGCGCGGGGCCCGGGCGGCCGCAGTGGCCACGGCCGCCGCCGCCCGCCGGCTTATATACCGCGGCTAAATTTAGGCTGCGCCCGAGCTCGTCCCCATCCGGGACGCGTTTCCGCCGCCGCCGCCTTGGCCCGGCCCCCGCGCGCGCCGCGCCTATAAGGCCCGGGCGGCCGGCCGCGGCCCACTGCGCCGTCCCCGCCCTCGCCCCGCCAGCCGCTCTCGGGTCCCCAGCCCGCGTCCCCCGGGTCCCAGCCATGACGCTGAGCGAACCCATCCTGCCGTCCTTCTCCACCTTCGCCAGCCCGTGCCGCGAGCGCGGCCTCCAGGAGGTGAGGGCGGCGGGGACCGCGGGCGGCGGGCTCCGGAGGGACCCTAGAACGTAGGCTGCGGGTAGTGGAGAGTCGGGGCGGAAACCGCGGGCTCCAGGTAGCAGAGCGCGGGCGGCGGGGGTCGCGGGCTCCAGGTGGTAGAACTCGGGCGGCGGCGCCGCGGGCGTCCCCCCAGCCCTCCGCGCGCTCACGCCCGCGCCCCCTCGCCCTGTCGCCCGCAGCGCTGGCAGCGCCCCGAGCCCGAGGCCGGCGGTGCCGACGACGACCTCAACAGCGTGCTGGACTTCATCCTGTCCATGGGGCTGGACGGCCTGGGCGCTGAGGCCGCCCCGGAGCCGCCGCCGCCGCCGCCCCCGCCGCCTGCGTTCTACTACCCCGAGCCCGGCGCGCCGCCGCCCTACGGCACCCCGACGGGCGGCCTGGTGTCGGAGCTGCTGCGGCCGGAGCTGGACGCGCCCCCGGGGCCCGCGCTGCACGGCCGCTTCCTACTCGCGCCGCCAGGCCGGCTGGTCAAGGCCGAGCCCCCCGAGGTGGACGGCGGCGGCGGCTACGGCTGCGCGCCCGCCCTGACCCGCGGGCCACGGGGCCTCAAGCGCGAGGGCGCCCCGGGCCCGGCAGCCGCGTGCCTGCGAGGCCCCGGAGGGCGACCCCCGCCACCGCCCGACACGCCGCCGCTCAGCCCCGACGGCCCCGCGCGTCTGCAGGCACCCGGCCCGCGCGCCGCGTTCCCGCCCCCTTTTGGTGGCCCCGGCTACGGCGCGCCGGGCCCGGGTCTGCACTACGGCCCACCGGCGCCCGCCGCCTTCGGTCTCTTTGACGACGCGGCCGCGGCCGCCGCCGCCCTGGGCCTGGCGCCACCCGCCGCCCGAGGTCTGCTGACACCCCCCGCGTCCCCGCTGGAGCTGCTGGAGGCCAAGCCCAAGCGCGGTCGCCGCTCCTGGCCGCGCAAGCGCACCGCCACCCACACCTGCAGCTACGCGGGCTGCGGCAAGACGTACACCAAGAGCTCGCACCTCAAGGCGCACCTGCGCACGCACACAGGTGGGTGCTCGGCGCGGGAGGCGGGGGTGCCGCGCGCCGGGGAGACGCGTTCTCTGGCGTGGGCGAGAAGAGGAGCTGGGAACGCCCTGGGGTCGAGGCTCAAGATCTGGGGAGGGGGCGCACACTCCGGAACCCTCCCCAAGGGGCGTGGCCAGGAGACTGGGGAGAGCGAGCGAAAACTCACAGTTGGGGCCTGGGCAGGGCGTCTCAGGAGGTTGGGGAGGGGGATCACACTTAGGAAATGTCGTGGGACGTGGGTAGGGGGACTGCCCAGGACGCTGTGCACACTTAGGGTTCCCCAGGGTCGAGGCTTAGGAAGCTGGGGAGAGGGTGTGCACTTAGCACTCAAGAGACCTGTCTGCCGACTGGGAATGTTAGGGAGGGGGTGCACGCTCAAGTCCCCTCTGGGGGTGTGGCTCGGGACCCTTTAGAACACTCCTGGGGGCGTGGCTGGAAACCCTGGGGAGTGGGCACTGCCCACTGGACTTCCAGGGTGAGTGAGGATCAGAAGGTGGAGGGCGTGTGGATTAAGGCTCTTAGGGGTTCAAAACGTGGGCAGGCATGAGGGTTAGGGCTGGGGACAGGTGCGCGCTGGAGGAGGCGCTACGGTGGCCTGCATGCTGTGTCCAGGCGGGGAAACTGAGGCTCACTCGCTGTCCCTTCCCCGCAGGTGAGAAGCCCTACCACTGCAACTGGGAAGGCTGTGGCTGGAAGTTCGCGCGCTCAGATGAGCTCACGCGCCACTACCGCAAGCACACGGGCCACCGGCCCTTCCAGTGCCACCTGTGTGACCGCGCCTTCTCGCGCTCCGACCACCTGGCGCTGCACATGAAGCGGCACATGTAGCCGGGACACCCCCGCCTCTCCGCGCGCGGCCGTGGCGGGTCCCACGTGCCGGGCACGGCCCTCCCAAACTGTGACTGTATTTATTGGACCCTGAGGACCGGGCTGGACTGTGTGGCCACGGAGGGGCTTCTGTCGCCGCCCCAGGACAATGACAACGCCACCACCCCAGCCCCTATCCGTGACTAAAGACCCAGTGGGAGAGGACACTATCCTCTTCTCTTCGACGAGTTCTGTTTTCAAAAATGGTGCAATAATTAAGTGTCCCCTTCCCTCCCACGGGTCGACACTAGAGGATCGAGGCTTGATGCTTCGTGAGAGAGAACAGCCTTCCTTTGTACTGTCTGCGGTATTTTTTATAATATTGTACATAGTGACTGTGACAGATATTGTATTACTGTACATAAGGGAGACAGGCGGGCTTTTGGGCTGCCTCGTTTTTATAAGGCGCTTTTTTTAATTAAAAAGAAAAGTTTTGCATCTTTTGAAAAAAAAAATCACAGCACTGGTCTGGCTGTTTGGAATCTGGGGACACTTGGGAGGGGCTGGCGGGGGAGCAGGCAGCTTTGGCCGAGGCACAGTGTGAAGCTCGCCCTGTCCCCACTGGCTCCAAGATCACCAGCTGCAGCACCCAGCTGCCAGGAACCTGTGGGTTTTTCTATAAATTTAAACACTGCATTTTAGGGCTGAGGGTGGGTTATTTTAAGGTTGTTCCTTGAGCCATAAATTGCCTCCTTTTCCCCAGAGCTGGGGAAAGTGCTCGCGCCCTACTGACGTGGCCTCTGCTGGGCCCAAAAAAAGCTTTACCTTTTTCTGGAAGTTTCTGAGGTTTAGCCAAACTTAGTGTGCAGGGGGTTTTTTTGTTTTTTTTTTTTTTTTGTGTGTGTGTGTGTGTGTAAAGTGCTGACATGCTGCACCTTTTCCTACTCCTGCCTTTTTAGCCAGATTTTTTTGAGATGACTTCCCCAATCTGCTAGGGGAAAAAAAATGAAGGTCACCTTTGCGACGATGCATGGAGCTGAGCTCTTTTTCAGGTGAGGAAACCGAGACCCAAAGGGAGCGAGCCATGGCGTGCTGGAATTAGGGTGCTAGTCTGGTCTGGATGCCTCCCGAGGGTTTCTAAGTCTCACTACAGGAAATCAGTGGCTTTTTGCAGTGACCCACCTGGGACTTGCATGGAAACGTCATGAGACCCTCCCCTGTAGGTTCCCTGGTGCAAAAAAAAAAAAAAAAAAAAAAAAAAAATCATGGCAGACAGTAAAACCCCTGCTTGGATGGTGGGAAGAGGCTAGTCCAGTAATCTACCTTGTAAGCAAGGGGACACCTCTGTACCCCACCCCAAATGTCTCACTCGGGTGACAAGGTGCATCTCCCTGAAAGCTTCTCCTGCCACCCCTCGCCTTCCCCTTCTCGGGGCCCTGGGTCACCATGGTCACTGACAATTGCACAAGTTGTTTCCAGAAAGTGAAAATACTCATGAGCACAGCCCGTTTTAAAACACTCTCACCCCGTTGCGACAGAGGCTGGGATTTCCTCCCTCCCTCCCTCCCTCCCTCCATCCTGCCTCCCCCTGGGGCGCAGCCCTGGAAACAGCTGAGAGCTGTTTGGTAATATCCACGAAAAGCAGAAACGGGAGATGACAATCTGATTCATCTTTCGAGAGTAAATACCCGGGCTCACTTCCGCTGCCACCAAAGGGTGTGAGTGTTTTTGCTCGAGCTGTGCCCTCTCTGCGTGCAACTTCTGCAAAAACTGCCCCGGAACACCACGGTGGCCCCTGGACCCGGGGACGTGGCCCTCCTTGCTCAGCACCAGGCTTTGCAGCACCGGAGCAGAGGGAAGATCCTGGGCTGACCATGGGGGAGACGTTTTTCTTGCTTGTTCCAGAATGCCTGCCAGATTTCCCCAGGGGGGTGCGAGGGGGGACCCAGGTCTCTGAGTCCAATGACAGGGCAGCCGTGACGCCGCTGACACTGTTGGGTTTCGGTCTCCTGCATGCCTCCAAGAGATAGCACAGGAAGTGTCATCCCTCGATGCCTGGCTGTATGCTTCAGCAAGTGACGCTGGGGACCTAGGGCTGGGTTCCACAGACCAATCCAGCGAGGTCGACTTTCCCGCCTCCTCCTGAAATCAAACACGACTCCCACCATGTGCCTCTGGGTGGGTGGTCCTCAGCCCGGACACCGGGGTCTGGAGACAGTCTGGGTTGTCACAACTTGGAGTTTCTGCTGTCATCTAGGTAGGGAGTCCAAGCCAGGGATGCTGCTAAATGTCCTATGATGCGTAAGGCTGTCCCTGTCACCGATGGACCCAGTCCCAAGGGGCAGCACTTCTGAGGCTGGAAACACTGGTCTGGGTCCCCAAAGATCATGGTTTCTCAGCAGGGACACAGCTCCGTGTCACGGGAAAATGCCACCCAGAGAGGTACTACACTTCTAGCCCCTGGGATCCTCAGGAGGAGAAGACAGCACCTGGAGAGGCAGCCGCACCCCCTTAGAAAACATCAAAGACCCAAACCGACAACACTGCACCTCGCATTCTGAGTTTTTCTTTTCAGTTTCGTGTCTCAGGGGACAACAGGTATCTGGTTCATGCTGAAAGGCTTTCACGTGCCTGCAATGACGGCTGTATCCTGTTTTCCAGAGTGACACACCTCCTCCATAATGTTTTTCCCTGTGATAGGTTTCTTCTTTTTCGGGGGAGGGGGAGTACCAGGATTTGAACTCGGGGGGCACTTGACCACTAAGACATATTCCCAGCCTTTTATATATATATATATTTTATTTAGGGACAGGGTCTCACTGAGTTACTTAGCACCTCGCTTTTGCTGAGTCTGGCTTTGAACTTGCAATCCTCCTGCCTCAGTCTCCCAAGCCCCTGGATTATAGGCCTGTGCCACCGTGTCCAGCTCCCCGTGAAGGGTTTCTATTGTCATTTTCACGGCTGTGTAATATTCCATTTAGATATGCCAGGAGGTACTTAAGCAAAGAATCTCTGTGTCCATGGGTTCTGCACTGTCTGGATGCCACCAAATGTTCAAGAAACATTGCACCTGTGCTGAACAGAGACAGGCTCTTCTTTGTCAGGATTCCCCAAACAGCACAGCACAATAGCCCTTGGCCCAGCCCTTGCAGGGCACATCTTCCCATTCAGGTAGAGGTCACTGGACGCCCGCGGGAGGCCGGCTGCACATTCTGTGCCACCCCGTGTCCTTCACATCAAGGGTTCAGCATCTACAGATCCTGGTATCCACAGAGGGGCCAGACCAACCCCTGGCAGGTGCCAGTGACTATATTTCAAACTGTCCCCAGCGGGCGGGTCAAAGGATCAGACGGGGTGAGGGTTCTGAGGGGTTTTGACGTGGCCCGATGGCTGTGGGGACGGGAGAACATTCAGGACCCATTTCTCTGCCAGGCGTCTCCTGTAGTCGCCGCTGGGCACCAGGCGCAGCCCGGGAGGGGTGCGGGACAGGGCTGGGCCGCGCCAGGTGCTGCAGGTGGCCCTGACTCAGCACCCGGCCTCCCCAGGAGTCCCCAGGCCCCAGGCCAGGGCACTGCGTGGCTTAGGTGGCCTGTGCCCCAGCTGTCCCCCTGCACCTAGGCCAGGGTGCCCCAGGCACTCGGATGCAGAACGTGATGGTGCCCTGGGAGGGGCGACCTGGGCACCCGGCTCCGCCCTCCAGATGCAGCGCGGGGCCCCTCTCAGGTCATGGGGCCAGAATGGCTCCAGGGTGAGAGACCCTGCGGGTGTCACTGGTGACCTACTAAGTCCCCACTCCCACTGCAGCCAGGAGGCCAGGGCAGCGCTGGGGGCCTGGGGGAGGGGACCTGCAGGGACACCCTGCAGCCTGGAGCGGTTGGGGGTTCAGGGCGCAGCGGGAGCGCAGCCTAATTCCCCCCAAATAACATGGGTTTCCCCCGAGGCCCTGCTGACACTCGGGCTGGATCTTCCCGCAGGGCGCCTGTGCCGGCCTCCCCCACAGACACCAGTGGCACCTCCACCCTGAGGTCACAACCACCCAAAGCTGTGCTTGCAGGCTCTGCCGAGGGGGCGGAACCGGCGCTGGGGACAAAGCCACTCCAGCCGCGGGAACCCCCAGCGCTGCCCTGCGCCTTGGGGGCCGGGCCCTGGGTCGCCTGGTCTGAAGAAGAGGGGCCTCCGGGGAGGAGGGACGGCGGGGCCTGGCCAGCGCAGTGGTGTCCCCAGACGGGGCTGCAGTTGGTGCCATCGCATGTCAACCTGCCGGTCCCGTGTCACCCTCTCCTTCCTGGGTCTCGCCCCCATTCATTGAGCGCGGCAGCCACCACTCCTCCTCCTGCTCCTCCTCCTCCTGCCCCACGTCCTGACAAGAAATGACTCAGAGGTGACTCAGCTCTGAGCCTCTGCCAAAATGTCTCTCCCGTGACTAACCCGGTGCGGTGGCCCTGCAGCCCCAGTGTGGCCCGCTGTCCCCAGCCTCCCTGCAAATCATCTCTTCTGGCCCCTGCGGCCACCCGGGGAGGAGCGGGGCTGGGCCGGGAAGGGGACCTGGTCCTGTGGACACAGTCCCTCCCGGGCCTGGGAAGAGCTGGGGGCTCCCTGTTCCCCACCCACGATCAGCTGGGGGCTCCCGTGTGGACAGCCTGCAGCCACTGCCCAGGGACAGGAGGAATGAGTGACCAGGGTCAGGCTGGCTGGGAGCTGGGGCAGCGCACAAGAAGCAAGAGGGGCTGGGGGACAGTTCCACAAACAGCCACCGAGGGATCCTCAGGTGACCAGCAGCTCCACTCCTCAGGGGACACCCACACACGCTGCCTCCAGTGCTGGCCCCCTGGCTGGCTAGCGGTTCCTGATCTCCCACCCCTGGGCCTTTGCACTGCCCACATTCCCCAATGCCTCCGTCCCCACTCCACCAGCCCGCGTGGGTGTCACAGTGGATCTGACAGCCCCACCCGAGGAGCAGTGCGGGGACCCCGGGAAAGGTGGAGGGCAGAGGACCTGCCCACGTATGGGCTTCTGGGAGGGAGGTCTGGCCGGAATGCACGAGAAGGGACAGGGATGGGGCTGAGCTGCAGGAGTGAAGGGCAGTAGGGAGCCATGGAAGGATGAAGGCAGAAGGTGCCCTGTGACACGGCTCCCTTCCCAGGACCTTCAGCTGGAGGCAATTTCCTCTCTGAGCCCTCACACCCTTCTCTGTGCTCCTCCTGGTTCTGTTTTCTGCCCAGGACTCCTGGGAGGGTCCCTGACTTATTCTGGGGGCGGGGGGCTGTCCTGGGGTCAGAGGTCAGGCCCAGGCTGGCTGCCAATCAGGGAAGCCATGTCACCATTGTACAGGGAATGCCCGGCCCAGGGAGGATGAGGTCTCTCTCCAGCCTGTCTCCATCCTGCCCTCTGTCCTCTGCCCTCTCACCCCGTGTCTGCTTTGTCTGTTGAATTTTTATTGTGATCAAATTTATCATCTTAAAACTTTTTTTTTCTTTTTTTTTGCAGAGCTGGGGTGGAACCCAGGGCCTCTC